CTCGGACGGTAGCTGATGCTGAATTCGGTGAGCTCAAAAGCCCACTTGGCTAGCCTACCAGATTTTTCAACCTTGCCGAGAACTTTTTCCAACGGCTGATCAGTTAAGACCACTATCTGATGGAAATCAAAATAGGGCCTCAGCTTCCGAGCAGCTACTACTACCACGAAAGCAACTTTCTCGAGTAGAGGATAGCGAGTCTCAGCATCCGTCAGTGTATGACTGACGAAGTAGATCGGTTGCTGACTTTTACTTTCTTCCTTCAGCAATACTGCGCTGATGGTGGCTGGGCTGACGGCCACATATAGGTACAAAGTTTCTCCTTCAGCTGGGCTCTTCCTCCCAAACGAGCTCTTTTGTTTTCGGGAGTTTCGGGGCTTTGAAGAAAGGTAACCCCTTATCCGAAGCTCTGGAAATGAACCTAGAGAGGGCTGCCATTCTTCCGGTGAGCCGCTGAACATCCCGCTTCGTTTTTGGCTCAGGAAGGTCGAGCGCCGCTTTGACTTTAGAGGGATTGGCATCAATCCCCCTTTTGCTGACTATGAACCCAAGGAATTTCCCTGACTTCACGCCGAAGACACACTTCTTCGGATTCAGCTTCATTTGATGCTTTCTCAAGGTGGCGAAAGTTTCAGCCAGGTCCTTTATATGGTCCTCTGGTTTTTTGCTTTTGACGATCGAATCGTCAACATAGACTTCCATGTTTCGGCCCTTTTGATCGGCGAAAACTTGATCCACCAGCCTTTGATAGGTTGCCCCCGCATTTTTCAATCCGAAGGGCATCATTTTGTAATTGTACACCCCAGCGTTCGTGACGAATGCTGTCTTTGCTCGATCGTCGGGGTGCATAAAGATCTGATGATACTCCAAGAATGCGTCAATGAAACTAAGCAAGGCATGGCCACTTGTCGAATCGACTAGCTGATCGATCCTCGGCAAGGGATAGAAATCCTTTGGACAAGCCTTATTTAGGTCCGTGAAGTCAACGCACATCCTCCAGGTACCATTGGGCTTCTGAACCATCACCACATTTGCCAGCCATTCTGGATATTGGCAAGGTTCGATGAATCCTGCCTCCAATAATTTTTTGACCTCGGCTGCGATGTCTCGGTTCTTATTGGCGGAGTAATTCCGCTTCTTTTGCTTAACTGGTCGACACGTCGGGTCAACATTAAGCTTATGGGAGATGAGGTCTGAACTTATCCCGGGCATATCAGCTGCCGAGAAAGCAAACACATCTCTGTTGTCCCGAAGGAGCTGAATAAGTTCACAACGGGTGTTCGGATCAAGGTCCATCCCGATTGTTACACATTTCTCAACGTCTCCTTCGGTCAACTCAACTGTTTCAGTCTGTTGGTCGTCCATGTCCATTTCTGAGGGACTGGACTCTTCATAATCTGGCCTGCTGCCAATGTCAGCAGGTGTCCCAGTCTTTTTGTTCTTCGGCTGGCTCTCTGAGTCTTGCGGCTCAGCTGAAGAGCTAGCCTTTTCCCTTTCGGGCCCTTTTTCTCTGGGCACAGATCCTTGGGCCGAAGCACTTAGGCCTTTCGGCTTTTTTGTGCTCGGCTCTCTTTCTTTTTCTTTCTCCTCCTCATCCTTGTCGTCATCTGGGCGACTACTGGATGGCTTGAGGTAGTTGCACCTTCGGGCGTCCTTTTGGTTGCCCTATATCCTTTCGGGGAAGCCGGCGTCTGAGACATAAATCATCAGCTGATGATAAGTTGAGACGACCCCTTGGATCTCATGAATTATGGGTCTCCCCAAAATCACGTTGTACACTGAAGGAGCGTCGATGACCAAAAATTCAATCATGACGTTCCTGGCTGCCTCATCGCAACCGATGGTGAAAGGAAGTGTCACCTTCCCATCTGGATAAGTTGAAGCCCCATTGAACCCGGATACCGGGTAGGGTACCGGCGTAAGGTGCTTGGGCTTCAGCTTAATTTGATTGTAGGCCTTTCGGAACAGAATGTTTGCTCCACTGCCACCGTCAACAAGGACCTTACTGACGTCGTGGTTGGCCACCGTGGCGATGATCACCAACGGATCATCGTGAGGGAACGTAATCCCCCGGCAGTCGGCGGCTGTGAACGTCATGTTCGGCACCGGCGACTGGGGAGATTGAATGTCAGCGTTGTTCACCTGGTGAGTCAAAGCTCTAAGGTGTCGCTTGTGCTCCCTCCGAGAGTATATTCCTCCCGAGATAACATTGATCGGAGGGAATTTCCCCTCCGGCTTTTTACTGTTTTTCCGGGGGAAGTCGAGGTCTTGCCGAGAGTCCTTTGCTGACTTCTCGGATTCTTTTTTCTCGCGGTGATCCGCGATGTATTTTTTCAAGTATCCCTTCCGGACCATGTCCTCTATCTGGTCCTTCAGTTGGATACACTCGTCAGTGTTGTGTCCCGAAGACTCGTGGAACTCGCACCACTGATTTTTATTTTTTCGCTGATACCTCTGGGAGTGGTCTCGGCTTTCGGTAACTCTGCTCCTCCTTTGTCACGCTGTAAATTTTGGCGCGTGGAAGAGAGAGCGGAGTGTAGGACTCGTATCTGCCTGTGTATGAGGCAGATCTTTCCTTCTTTGGGTCGCTGGCCAAAGATTGCTCCGAGGCCTTTGACTTTCCCTTTGCCTTATGGCCTTGGCCTTCAGACAAGGGTATTTGTCTTTGTTTCCCTCCCCCAAATTGAGGTTGGGTTTTCGCTTTGTTCCATTCTTCGGCTCGGATGAACTTATCCGAGGCATTCAGAGCTTCCTCCAAGGTCTGCGGGGTATGCATGACCATGAAGTCTAGGAACTTTCCGGGCTGAAGGCCATTCTGCATTGCAAAAACGGCTAGCCCCTGGTCCAGCTGAGAGACGCTGGATGACTCGTTACTGAAACGGGTCAGATAGTCTCGGAGGCTTTCGGTTTCCCCCTGTTGTAGACTCATGAGCTCTGCAGTAGTCTTCTCTCGGCGGTTTGCCGTGGAAAACTTTCTCCTGAACTTGGAGGACAGATCATCCCACCCTGTTATGGAGCCCTGCCTTACTCCCTTGGAGATCCACGCTTGCGCGACCCCCTTGAGAGTGGTTGGGAAATATTTGCACCAAGTCGCCTCGGATCTGGGGCAAATATGCATATGAGTCTCATACGAGGCCACGTGATCCTTCGGATCCGAGGTCCCGTCATATGTGATGTGCAACGGTATTTTAACCGTGGGTACGCGCTCTTCCAGTATCCATTGCTCGAATGGTGAACTGGCGGGTAGCATAACGGCCTTGCCCTTGTTCCTGGCCGAAGGGACCGCGCTCCGCCTTCTTAGAGAGGTAGGAGTGGTTTTCGTCCCTGGCTGGGAAGTCTGGGCCTCGGCTGCAGGGAACGAGAGGCGACTGCGCACGCTCGGTTCCTTGCCGCCGAGTCGGTCAAGGACGCTTCGGCGAACAGTCTCAGGTTCTCGGTGAGTAGATTCTGGCCGAGAAGCTGAGCTGCTGCTCTTATGCGCTTCTGGTCTTGAGGATGAGGATCCTTTTAAAAATTGAGGGTTCTTTTTCCTCTCTTTTTCATTTTTCCAGGAATCCTCTTCCCACTCTTCCAGTTCCCGGAAGGAAGGAAGCTTCCCACCATCATGGTCTAACTTCCTCCGCTGATGCCGGGTATGCGGAGGAGTTCGATCACGAGGTGGTGGCATATTTTGTGCCCTCATCGCCTCCATGAGTACTGCCAGCGCTCTTGCCACCTCTTCCGAGCTGGGCCCCGTCAAAGGGGTCCTCGGCCGAGTATGGGAATGAGGGCGCGCAGCCGATGGTTGGCTTTGGGGCACTGAATGTGTCCTATGATCGGACTCACCCCTGCTAGACCGAGAGTGACTCGACCTATAATGAGAGTCATGAATTACGGGAGAAAGGGAATCCTCCTTGTATGATCCTCCCCCCGAGCTGGCACCCTTGGGAGAGTTCCGGTCCGGCGAGGGTGATGGTGTAGGGGTTTTAGGCTTTTCGCCCGCTCCTTGACGGAGGCTTTTGCTCTTGCGGTTCTTAGCCATTTGCTACTAAGATAATTGCAAGATGATCTTGGTTAGAAATTTGGCTTAAAGATTTTTGAAAGTCTTCCCCACAGACGGCGCCAAATTGTTTCGGGTGAAAACAATGGGACCTTGCCGAAGGTCCGCTGAAACGGAGAAGACTGGATTCGGTCCAAGTTATGTTGGGCCGAAGGTTTCCTGCACAGTAAACACACGTAAACTAGCCTCGGGGGTGTTGCCGAGGAAGGCCCCTCCGATGCTAAAGTTAGTACAATGTGTAGAAAGAGAACACTATGCAAGAGAGTTTGTTGCTTGAGGCTTTGATGGAATATATGAGAATATATGAATCTATGAGAATGTATGTGAATCTATGAATCTATGAGAATGTATGAATATTGATGGCTTTTATACCTCTTCATACATGGAGAAGTTGGGCCTTAGCCCAATTGGCTTGCTTTGTGGGCTGACCTTTGACTTTAGCACAATTGGAGAGTTGAACCTTGACCTTGGGCTTTTAATTGGATCATTTAATGCCTAGGCCCAATTGAACTAAATTGGACCCAAACAACAAGTTTTATTAAAAGTAATCCCACTAAACATCGCCAAGACACCAACAAAATTACCAAGTAAATTACAAAAAGTTGGTAGATGTACAACATTATGTGTCACAAAAAATATACAAAAGTATATAGGATATATCCAACAAAACTTATATTAGTAAGCTTAAAATATGATAATCGTACATTAGTATTAGTACTACTAATATAAGCCAGTATCAACATTTATTTATCCCATTTTAGCATACAATTCATACATAAAAATGAAAGTCGGCAAATTGACATAAACAAGTGGAGCCTTAGTTGCGTCAGATAATTACATGGGGTTGGCCCAAACGAAGCTACCATGCAATTTCCTTAAAACAACTCCTACGCAAATCTTTCCAACTTACGTTCTTTCCCTTGCACTTTCCATTTCAAATTCCTCTCATTTTTTTCTTCTACCCTAATTTATTCCACTACTTTTTTTTTTGTCATATTGATTGTAACTCTTCCACTTTTCCATTCCTATATATAAACTAAATTTAGCCATGATTCAAAATTACACGGAAAGAGGTTTTTGTTAGATATATATGATTGTCAACAACTTTAAAATTTTAAAAATAAGATAAACAAAACATGGCATCTGAGTGTATTCCTAGGTCAAGTAGGTGGTTCTCAAATGTTGGACTACGAATAAGCCTCCACAAAAAGAAGTCCAAGGGTAGCACATCGGCCTCCTCATCGAGTTCCTCAGGCTCCCCTCGATCCCCTTTACCCCCTCCGTCCATCCCTTTTGGCCCTACGGGGAGGAGTAGGGAAGAGGAGCTTAGGGAAGTCTTTAGACATTTCGATATGGATAACGATGGAATGATCACGGCTCTTGAGCTCCGGAGATACTTTAACTCCATAGGGGAGATCATCACAGAGGAAGAGGCCCAAGAGGTTATTGATGAGCTTGACTCAGACAACGATGGTATGCTCGAGTTTAAGGATTTTGTTAAGCTCATGGATAGTAAGGAGGGTGCGGATGAAGACATGAAGAAGGTGTTTGAGATGTTCGAGCACGAAAAGGGATCCGGTAGGATCACTCCTAGAGGGCTTCAAAGAGCTTTGAATCGCCTAGGGGATTCTAAGTCTTTTAAGGAGTGTGCGTCCATGATTAGGGTGTATGATACCGATGGTGATGGAGAGCTTGATTTTAATGACTTTCATCAAATGATGGCTGTATAAATTTTCTTGCTCGTTGTATTAAATAATATGATAATTCTTTTTGGTTTTAGCTGTCATATATATTACTCCGTACTAGTTTAAATTACACTACTGTTTGGAGGACGATAATAATTTCCATTTGGAGGGATTTATTATATATCCATGTTTTCTTGTGTATGTAATCTTTACTCACTGTTGTAACAAATTAAAGGATATAAGGAGCTGAGAGGGGTTAAGGGACTTTGAAAATAAGTCTGAAATGATAATCATTGCAAGGTCTAGAACCCTAAAATTAATATTTTGGTGGTTTAGTAGTTTGATAATACTTGCATCAATTATGAAGCGTGCATGACAATTATACTATACTCCATACAATGTATAAACTGTAAAGTGGGTGAACAAGCGATGATACAAATAAACATTAATGCACTTACTTTAGTAGAAAGTAATCAAAGTATACACGTAGTATAGATAACTTTGTTAATTTTTTCAATTTAGGGAGTTTAGTTGAATGTTTACCAAGGGTATTCGTCATTACGCTAATGTTTTGCAATTATGATGTTGTATATATATTCAGCCTCTCATGTCACAACTCTGATCTAGATTTAATACGACAAGTAATAACACTTGACTTAATTTTTAAAGATTGATTTTGGAAATTATAGTTTTCGATTGATCACGGATTAATAGTCGTAATCTTATGAGTTTCTCGATAAATTTTTGTTGTGTAAATATATAAGTGTAATAAGTAACTAAGAACTAACAATGATCATTAACTAGATAGTTTTTGTTGTCAAAAAAAGAAGAAAAAACGACAAACAAAATAATAAGTTCTAATAAAGTCATTCTCAACGTAATAAATGTTAGGCAAGATTGCAAAGAAATAAAACACCTTAATAATAAAAGGACCCTTAACAGATGGACATCGTTTTATTGGCGTTAAAATGGATATTGCGTTATCTTTGTGATTACGTTATCTTGTGTTTTGTTGTTAATTGATTGTCATTTGCATATGAATCTTTGCTACTTGTCCAAGTATATGTATCAATGTATGTTACGGAGAAGTTGCCACCCATGTGTCCGTATAAAATCCAGTATAACTGTACAAATTATGGGGTGTAAAAGATCTATAAGGGTTCTTGTTTGATTTTACTCCGTACTTTGTACTCCGTATTATTTAAAAGGTGTTAAGGATTTTACAATGGGGATTAAGATTTTGATTATACATAGTTTGAGTCGTCCGTAAACTTTAATTGTATTTTCTTTAAAGTTTAAACTGTACATTTTTTCTTATCTTTCATTATCTTATTATTTGAATTTTTTTCTTTATACATAGTTGTATAAAATTTAAGGGAAAATGAAATGTAACAGGGAGTACCCTCGTTTTATTGGTCTTGATGTATAAATTTTACAACACCTTTTTAAATATTTATTATGCAAATTATAAAAAAGGTATAAAGGGAAAAAATTTACTGTGTTAAATTTGTGTCAAATTTATCAATATATTAGCAACTAGTTTAGTTTGCACGGATTAAGTAGCCATTATTTGTTTAAATAGTTGTCAAATTTATATTTAAAAAAAATCATAATCTCATTAGTTAATTTTGAAGGAAGCACCGTATTTATTTAGTTTTGGAATATAGGAAGAGAGAAAAAAAAGATGATGTCAAATATAGTTTAGGCGGGAAAATTTTTAATAAGGAATTGACATGTATTACTTAATAATGTCAACATGTTTTTTTGTTTTAGTAATAGTTAATAAATATCTACCTAAATTGATTTTTTTACAAGTACTATCTAAGTGTTCTAGTTTGCATTCTCTTCACGAGAAACTTGTTAAACTTTTCTAAACACTTGAGTTGAGAAAGTTAGGACCTTATATAATTAATGTAACCCAAAATATTATTGACAATGAAAAAACGTTATACCAATAAGGTTTTGACCTAGTGGCTAAGACAATGGCAAAAAAAATTAATGTATATAATACAGAGTAGAAATTAATTTTCATTGTCAACTTGTGTGTATTCAAAAATTTTTATGGTAACTTTTGTTGAATTTAGGGTAACTTTTATCCATAAAACGTAAATAATTTTTATTTATATCAGGATAACTTATATACGAATAATATAAAAGGTAACTTACATTTATTATAGAGTAACTTTTAATCATTTTATGGCTGTTAAATTTCAAACAAATGTACCTAGGCAATCCGAACAAGGAGAAGGAGAGTTTGGTCCGTAAACTAGCCTTAGGCTTCCATACTAAAACCAATTGTCAATAAGAATTACTCCTTTACTTTATAAAGTGAAACCACCTTTTTTCTTTTTCCGATGTAAAATACTCACAAGCGGGTTACAATGAGTTAGGAAAGGGCCAACCGGCCAAAGTTTAGAAGGGCGGACATACATTGGCACGAAGCGAGAGGGACCAGACTACAAGTTGACCCAGATCAAATACGACAAGGACTAGCATACTTAATTAAGGTTAACAAAACAATCAAGGAACCTCATTTAATCTTCTAATTAAAGATATGTGGGACCTCAAATTCGAATTGTTTGGTAGAAACCAAAAAAAAAAGAAAAAAAATTGGAATATTACCAAGTTAACAACTCTAGAAAACTCAGAAGGGAGTAAGGCGGTGGTTGAGAGGGCTTAGTCGACGCTTCCATCTCATCGGAAAACGCCGTAATTTCATCACTCCCCCAAAATTGCGTCGGAAAATATGAAGACGGAAATGCTGGAAACGTTTTATACGGTAATTGCCGGCGATTTTGCGTCGGAAAATGGAAATGCAGCAATTCGCTCCGCCTTTTGTTGGGCCGCTTCTTTCTCTGCGCTGTTAGTTTCTCTCTCCTCTTTTTAAGCTCTTCACTGTTTTCGAATTTCGTGTTAAATTTGAACCATTTCTTTTCTTTTCATCATTATGTGTGTTAATTCTGTAGTAATGTTGTCTCTTTCACTTTTTAGTATTGCAAATTTGCAATTGTGATTGTTCTCCTGTTGTTCTTGATAATTGTGTGATTGATGTAAAATTTTCAAGTATAATGATTCTATTTTGGAATTGCACATGAAACACGTTTTCTCAATTTTGATTTATACAGTAATAGATGAATCCTGTTGATTAAAGGTGATTTCATTTTCATAAAAGTTATGAAGACATCTTATCAAAATATGTTTCTAATTTAGATCAAAATAAGTATTGTATAAGACGGCCTTACATTTATTTTTATTGTAAGATAGTCGATTTAGGAGTAACTTTTACAATATACGTAGATATAGCAACCTTAATCTTTTTAATGAGTTTGATTGTACCTCAGTTCTTTTATTATTGCACCATTTAAGTTGGGATGTCATCCCCGGCTCCCCGCCCTCTTGGTTTGGCGGGTGATGGGACGGGGATGGATTTTACATTGTTCCCGCCTCACCCGACTTCGTACCCACCTCATACACACATCTATATATTTTAAAAACAAAATTATATATTTTTAATACTATTTTAAAAAAACATATATAAAATAAAATGCTACGTAATAGATATAATAATTGTAATACACTAATATTTTAACTAAAAGAGTGTAATATTAACATTTTTTTTTTCTTGTAATCTATATTAATTATGTTGGATTGTGTATGGGATTAGTGGGGATTAAGTAGGGATGGATATCTAAATGGAGGATGGGGTGGGGGGATGGTTTTGGAATTGTAACCGCCGGGGTGGGGGTGGGGATGAATTTTTTTTGGTATGGATGGGAAGACCAACATTTGCCCCACCCCATTGATATCTATACGTACAAGTTTGGCACAATAATTTTGGTAGTGGGGAAAATGGAGAGAGAGAAAGGTAAAAATACACAAATGTCCATGTGATATTGTGATGTAACATAAACTAAATAACAAGTGTGAAAAAGTAAGGATATGTTGGGGAAATGATTTTGGCACACCCTTAATTGATTTTGGCACACCCCTATGTGAGAGCACAATTTTTTTATGTTTTTCTCACATAGGGGTGTGCCAAAATCAATTCAGGGTGTGCCAAAATCAATTTCCGTATTTGTAGTGTGAACATAGATATTTTTTTGTCCTAAAATAGAAATGATGCAATATTTATGAAACTTCTTTAAAAGTCAAGTGGTGCAATATTAAAAGAACAAAGGAAGTACTAGTATTTAATGTGTAATTTCAAATAGACTTCAAATAGATATGCTATGAAAGCTAATATGACTAATGTACATTATAATATTTTTTTAAGGGTTAAATTAATGTTAGGATATTGATAACTTTTGTAGTATGTAATGGTAACTTTAAATTAACTTTAATCCATCTTACAATAATTTAATTAAAGTCCGCCCTAATCAAAATTTTGTGTAGATAAAAAAGATTTCGGTAAATGAAATTGATTTGATAAAAAAGAAGTCCATACACATGTTACATACATGCTCATGCACTTGTTTAAAATACTCTGTATACAAAATTGATGATATTTGAAAATTTACATTTGACGCTAATCCAATTACATTTGGATTTATATATAGTTGTAAAAATGAGTAGTCAAAGTTAATTTATGAATAGTGTAAAGACAAACTGTTGCGATTACGTAGAATTGAAGGGCGTATGACTTAGGGTGCATTTTACTATTTACGTAATTTCAACTTAGCTGAACTTAATTGGACTCAATAAATTGAACGTGGGTAGTTTAATTTTTCTTGTAGTTTAACTTTATTCCACAACGTGACATTAGACACGAGAGGACAGAGCCCGACGTTAGCTCTTGTAAGCCTGAGCAAACAATATAATTGGAAATGCGGAATAAGGTGAACATGATCTTATCAGGTTCACATAAACATATACGAAGTATTGAAAACTAAGAGGATTAAGCTTAAGTTTACTTTTTTTTGGTTGTTGGGGAGGGGGAGCTTAGGGCTCATTTTATAACGAGTATACTAAGTTTCCAACACAGTCTTACAAATGACAAACATTGTTCATTTTATGGTTGATATATAAACCAATTAGAACAAAAAATGAATTTAAGGAGCCCGTAAACTAAAAATTAATTTTGGGTTAAAGCACAAATTCAGTCCAAATCAATTATTTGCTCATGAGCCGAGTTGAGCAAGTCTAAGATCAAGGTTGACTCGACTTATTATTGGGGTTAGTGGGACATAAACTTCCATAATTGGACGCGTGGATTTTCTATCACTAATCTTCCTCCACTTGTTTTACTGGAAATGATTTGTGGTCTTGAAATGAATATCACAATGCTATAATGGAGCCTAAAATCAAGGTATAAAGCATGATTGGATAGTGGAAATGTGGAATACCATTTCATCTGTAGTTCTATACCAACGAATATGGAATTTCCATGCTAAGGTGATATTTTTCCTTAGGGAACTTACTGGAGTTGACCGTCGTTGTATTGCCTGATGTATTTGACATCAGAATTGCCCCCCCCCCCCCTCCTTAGTTTCCCTGCCTACAAGGCATAAGCTAATCTAAGTAAACAATAAATTGTTGACCTTTAATTTTTTTTTTTTTTAAAAAAGGTTCTTCTTTGATATCCTCCATGAGAAGGTGTTTTCCAATTCAAAGTCAAATTTATGGGAGCCACTGCTGAATGGGAACTCAAATTTAACATTTATTGAAGGATGACACCTTCACTTATCATCAGCTTGGGTTTGTTTAAAGATGGCGGCTGATGAATTTGGAAATCTGGTTTCAATCCAATGAATATATGCCAAGCTTGGTATTGGAAAGTGATAGAGGCATGCTTAGGCAGTAGGCACAAATGCACCTTGTGTTTGTGGTGCACAGCCCATCATCTTTTGCATCTTTTCTATAAACTGTTTGCACCTCAGACTGCTTAATGTTAATATCACGTTACACAGAGAACTAGACTAGGACCTCTTTAACATATTTCACCAAATTTTGCAAAGAGAGGGGATATATGACCCATTAAAAAATTGACAGTCCTATTCGGGTTTCTGTCATTTTGGAATCTGTAGACTAAGTGTTAATGACCTTAATGTTATGGTTAATGATGCTTCTTATATTAGTATGGATAAAGAAACTGAATTGGAAATGATTTAGGATATATTGGCACTGTCTTGATATTTTGCTTCTTTAGAGCTGGATGACTGTGAGAAAAAAAGACAGATAGCTAAATTATCTATTTGAAAAATGTTTCAGCTGTACAAGTATTAAACTTCTAAGATGTTTATAGTTTGATTCTACCGACTCTATTCTGTCACATTAATATATATTCTGTACATTAATATGATTTGTTTACACATTTATTGATCAAGTATCTTTCTTTCCTTCTTCCTTGGCTATTGCTGTAGGTTTCTATTAGTTTTGAACCTACTGGGGAGAAGATCAAGGCTGCAAGCTTCATTTCTGGCCCTTTTTCTTACGGCTAGTCTTCCAGAAGCTGTATTCCAGATATTAAGGTGGTTTTAAAGATTCTTGGCAAATTTCTGGCCTTCTCAGATTAGAACTCTTTTCTGTGTAAGAAAATTACTGAGGATATGTCTCCATGTTGCCATGTTGCAGAGGACAATTTGGCTGTTGGGTTGCTATTTTTGCTATTGCTGCAAATTACTGCTTTCCTGATGTATTTCCAGGTAAGAATAAACTATTTTTTGGATCAGACGTAACCCAGTTATCAATTATAAAGTATTATAATGTGATATTCTTGCTTGCAGTTTCTGTCTCTCGATTTCTGTTCTTTGTTGTCATGCCAAACTGGCTGGCCTATGAACTACGTGAGAGCATCGCAGGTGCTATATTTTGTCTGGTGATTTGCATTTTACTTCTCGTAATGGAGATACATGCAAATGGAGGATGCAGCAGTTGTATCTGTAATTTGCAATGCTGTGCATATTGGCTCTGTATGGCCCTTCTCTTCTTTTTTACGATACTTTATATAAGTTTAGGATCTTGGTAAGTGACTAGACACTAGAGTCCTCTGCTGGATGAAAAATCCTTGTGCAATTATGTTATGTGCTGATTGATATTCATGTTCTCTTGGACATTTTTTGCTTTGTAAATTTTTTGTATATACATGAATTTTTTGTATACATATTACATAATAAAAGTAGATACAGATTAATTTTTTTGATTAAAAGTATCCTGTCTTGATCATACTTGTATTTGCGCCTGAAATATGTTAACGGAGCAAAATTTAGATTAACAGGATCTCATGTAGCTCTGTTCACTTATAGAGTAATAATTATTGTCATTGGTCAATTATGGTTTATTGAGTTGATGCAGGCTGCCTAGTCTCTAGTTTGTGTGAAATGAATGATGTTGATTTAGCCGACTTGAACACGGGATGTTACTATGTTAGTGTAGAGATCATTCTATGTGTGGCTGTCATATTTTTCCTTTCCTTTTTTGTTCTTTTATGATTGGATTTGCTGTCTAATTCTGTGGTGTAACTGGAAAAAATCTACTTCGTATCTGTTTTGCTAGTTCCGGTAAGAATAAATTTGGATTAGGGTCAATAAGTTTGGTTTAGATACAGTTTAGTTTTTAAGTGAAGAACGTAGCTGATTTTTCCTTATGCATTTTTAGTATACTAAGAACTATAATTGATAGTAGATCTCATTAGTGATAACTAATGGGGTTTCACACTTACATGAGACCACGTCTAGTAGACTTACCAAAAAGCCCACTCTCACTTGTTCACTACCGCGTACCGACTTCGACTGGTTGTGTACTTTTGTGAATAGGCATGCTTATTGTCAATTGTACTGTATCTTTTTTACTTACGGAATAATGTATAAAAATTCCATATACTCCGTAATTGATTTTTCTTTGACTTTGGGGCAAACTTTGGGTGGACAAAAATGTACGGAATAAGAAACCCTGTTCAAATTCAATGTATACTTTTGGAATGAAAAATGAATTATTCAATGTGCATTTAACGTGAGGGGTAGTTCAAGTGGTTAGAGCTTCCCTTCCGTAATTAGGAGTTTTTTGGATCGATTTCCCCAGGCCTTATGTGGCTCTTTAAACCCAAAAAAAAAAAAAAAAAAAAAAAATTAAAAGTTTAAAAAAAGAAAATGGAATATACAGCAACAACAGATAAATGGACCAAGTGATAAAATATGAAGGTAGTCTCCCCTTCGAGAGAAATTATAAAATATTGGTGGGTTCTTGCCAAAAATAGTAGTGTTGCAATTATTATGAAATGGCCGAAAATGAAAAGCGTTTTATTCAATATGAAATGGATGTGTAGTTATTATTTGTCGGATACATTGTTCATTCAAAACTTTTCATGGGTGCACGGTGTATTATTTAAATCTTTAGGGGCACACCGAACAATTTTTTTATTTTTTTTAAAAACAATGGTGTTTTTCTCTTTTCTTTTTTCTTTTTATTTTTTTAACAGACAAGAGCAAAGGCTAAAATACATCTACTTGTTCCTTTCATCCCTTTGTTTTCAATAGACAAGCTATATTTTTTTAACTTGCAAGAAATTGAGTACTGTATTTTGTGTTTATTTGTTAAACTTGTCCCTTTGTGATGCTAAAATCTTCTACTTTACAAATCCGTCTTCTGTAGTTGACTATTGACTTCAATACATCCTCCCATGACCACATATGAGTTTCCCTTTCAAATTTTGCTTCTTATTTATTTTATTTTTTTATTATTTTTTTTTGGTGAAGATAGTCAAAAACTCAAAACAGCAACTTCCCTCAGCTTTCCTACGTAGGTTTCAACAAATTCTCATTGTGGTGAGTGTAAGTTTGCTTTACACTCACAGTAAACCCACTTATAAACAAAAGCTTGCTATATTTAGCAATCCATATAATTTTCATTCCACTTCAACCTCTCACCATCTTAGCATCTCCTAATCAGATCCAAATGGCTTTTCCTTCATTCATTTTTGCCTTCCTTTTCTCAATCTTCTACTTCTCTTGTTTCATCACAGCCCAGCAACCTTATGCTGGGAATGTGTGCCGTCGAAACGAGTCCTCTGCTCTTGGATACACCTGCAATGGTGTGAACCGATCGTGCCAAACTTTTCTCATATACCGGACTCAACTTCCCTACAGCACCATCTCTTCCATCGCCTCTCTTTTTTCTGTCAATGCATCTCAGATATCCGCATTCAATAAAAATATTGCGGCAAACATGGCCTTGGCAACAAACACCAAGGTGATCATTCCTGTGACATGCTCCTGTGTTGGTAGGTTCTACCAAACCAATACCACTCATGTTGTTCGAACTGGTGATAATTACTACTTGCTAGCTAACAATACCTTTGAAGGTCTGACTACTTGCAGGGCTATCAAAGCTCAGAAAGTTAGTCCAAATATAGTTAACATATTTCCCGATGAAAGGCTTACTATACCTCTTAGGTGTGCTTGTCCTACTCGGAGGCAACTTAATTTAGGGATCAAGTATCTTGTGAGCTTTGTGATCCAACCAAGCAATACTGCTATTGGGGCTATTGCTACATACTTTGGAGCTGACGTTGGACAAACTCTCGAGGCCAATGGAAAATCTGAGCAGGATGATGTTATCAACCCTTTCACAACCCTTCTTATTCCGTTATAGACCCCACCAAATGTTTCTAAATTGGAGTATCCTCCTTACGTACCACCCCCAACATCTTCTCCAGTTTCCTTTCCTCCTATAGAAACACCATTACCAATGTTGTCTAGTGGGAATTCGAAAAAGAAATGGGTTTATTTCGGGTTAGGGGCAGTTGCTGGAGGTGTGTTTATTTTAGTAGTAGGGTTAATGACTTTCTTCATGTTGCCAAGGATGTGTATGAGGAAAAAAATTGATCCAAATACGCAAAACCTTGAAGCACAAGGAAAGGATGTAGTGAAGCAGGCGCCAGAGAAAGAATCCCTCGAGTTTCTTGAGAATATATCTAGGATAGCTTCCCTGAAAGTGTATAGCTTCACGGAGTTGCAGGCAGCGACAGAGAATTTCAGCTCTGATCACTGGATTAAAGGATCAGTATATAGGGGAAATATTAGCGGTGATGAAGTGGTTATTAAGAAGATGGATGTAGATGTCAGCAAAGAGATTAGTGTACTGAACAAGATCAACCATTTCAACCTTATCAGGTTGCTGGGGGTTTGTTTTGATGACGGGGTTTGGTACTTTGTGTATGAATATGCAAGCAATGGACCATTGAGGGATTGGATCTTTCAAGACAACCCTGATGGAAAAACCTTAAGTTTGGGGAAGAGAATCCAGGTGGCTTGCGATGTTGCCACTGGGCTTAACTATCTTCATACCTATACAAACCCGCCACACATTCACAAGGATATAAGGAGCAGCAATGTTCTTCTGAATAATGAGTTCAGGGCAAAAATTGCCAAATTTGGTCTCTCAAGACCAATCAAAGGCAATGATGGTCAATTTACGTTAACTAATCATATTGTGGGTACAAAGGGTTATTTGGCTCCTGAGTATTTGGAAAACGGAGTAGTCTCTCCTATGCTTGATGTTTATGCCTTTGGTGTTCTGTTTTTAGAGATGCTCGCTGGGAGGGATGTTGCTAGTCTTTATGAAGGGGTTAAGGTTCATTTGTCAGAAATTTTAAGCCCTGTGCTGAGTGAGGATGGGAATTTGAGCTTGAAAGAATTTATGGATTCTTCCCTTGGGGAGGATTACCCTACTGATATTGCATATACTATGCTTGTGCTAGTTGATAGTTGCTTGAGAAAAGATCCAGGAAAACGCCCTTTTATGGATGAAATTGTGCAGATTTTATCAAAAACCTTGACAACCTCACTGATCTGGGGATCCAGTACATCTGCTAGTGTCTTGAGCTTATGACAATCTGAAGAGTGAAGACTAGTGTTTTTTTTTTTTCTTTTTTTTTTTTTTTTTTTGCAGCGCTTGTTGCTTCAAATCACCCTTTTTACCCTTGTCTTACATTAGCTTTAAGCTTCTTTCCTTTTGTTTAGGTGAATGTTTGGTACTTTTTTAACAGAAGGATGCTTGTGTAGAACGATCCAAATTTTTTTTAAAGCTTTTCTTATGTTGCTATGAAGTGTGTACAAGACTTGAATAAATAAAATACAGCATTAATATTTTTCGTAAAACTGAAGGTGATTGAAGTTGTAAATATTATGTCTTGATGTTAACCTTCTAACCAAAGAAATTCTTGATAGAAATCGTGGGGGAGGCTAGGTATAAAGTAAGGGGAGAGAAATTAATCGGAGACTAGTGACTGAAAGTTGTTGCACAAGTTACAAACTGTTAAAATACATTATTATGCCTGGCTAAAAACGCTGATATATGCATTATGACTAGTTCTATTATTGATAAGGATAGAGAATTGATTTGACTCCCTTTGCTCTTATTTTATATTTGTATTTTGTAAGAATTGAATGTAATATATAGACTGAGGAATTTTTTTACTCAATTTCGCGTAGAATTCTTGAAATCAGCCGATAAAAATAATTGGTTGTCCTTGCTGCTTATGGGCTCATCCCATTAATTATAATTTTGTTTACTTGGATGAGCTAACTTAATTCAAACTATTCCTTGCCCATTATTATACTTTTTGTCTGCATGGACAAGCTTATCACTTTATTTGAATTAGTAGCTGCTAGTTTTTGATTGTTTCTGATAAACTTGAAGCTAGTTAGAATCTATTTAACCGTGAGTTAAGGCGGTTTTGAAGCCTTTTTATCATGACTTAGGTACTAGATTGATATTGTTTCTCTTTATGTACATCACCTCATCGGTGTTTGATGGAGTTATAAGGTGGATAGGCTAGCGCCAGCTTGACTAACCTGATCCGCAGCCTCTGGGTCCTTTCTGTTATGAGAATTTTCATCGATTTTGTTATTCATAGTGCATAGCATAAATAAACTGTGCGTTTGAGTTATGAGCAAGAGACAGATTGAAGAAACGATTTAAGAATGATATGTTAATAAGTGATGATAAATAAAGATAGATATCTGAGTCTGACATCATATTATTCTATGAAGTTTTTCATAAAATGCAATCAGGTTACATGGGTTGAATATTCAGGAGTTTTGATTTTTTTTTTTTTTTCGTTTATTAATTGGCATGATTCACACATCTAATGACTCCCTGCGCTTTTCCTTCAGTTTTTCACATATTGATATTTTGCAAGCTAAGATAAGCTTTGTTTTTTTTGGCATAATTCTGATCTGTCTTAAGTAAAACTGTTTTTTTTTTCCTAAAAAAGTTTACATCTGACAAGAAATTTTCATGTAATTCAGCATAGCGTCTAGATGTTTACTATAAAGTGATCAAATACAATTTGCAGTCTTTAGCTTTAGGGTGATGATATGTTTGACTTATTGTTCTAATCTTGTGATTAATTTTTGTTTTAGAATAAGACACTTCTTTTAAAAATGAATATTTGGGATAAGTTTACTTTGATTTTCAATGGTCTTTTTTTTTTATTTTTAACTCTGTATTGTATAAAATTTTCTTTTAATTCATTGAATAAATGTAGACCATAGGTATACAAAATATGATTTAACTACTTATTTAGTTATTTCATATGAGAATCAAGTGGGAGCTCAATGGTAAAGCTCTTATCTTGTAATATTTCCTCAAATGTAATATTTCGTTTTTCCTAATGAGCACAATTAAGAGTACAACTAATTTGAGCATTCTAGAAAACGAAATAATTTGCATCTTCATTTTATACAGATTAGTTTTAATAAACTACTCTGTAATCAATTTTTTTTTTGATCATATCTATTAAAAATATGATAATGTGATGCATTTTCTTGTATAACAAGAAAATCCTTACAAATCCCCCTTATGTAGTTGAACATTGACTTCAATAAAACTTTCTAATTCCTATGGCCCACTTATGAGTTATAAATTATTCATGAGTCATCCACAACATCGGACATCCCTATTTCCATACCTTAATCCCCCTTTTTTTCTGGGATGAAGATGGTCAACTTAGCAATAACATGTAGCTTTCCTACATAAAACTCTTCCAAAATAATGCCTTTCAAGAATAATTATTATCAACTACTTTAATAAGGTTGCTATCTTATACAAGTACTATATAAACATACCATCTTTTGCACCATCCCACCCCTACCAAGCCACATTCACTCCAAATGGCTTCTCTTTCTTTGGCTTTCGCTTTCGTTCTCTCCTTGATTTGCTTCCCTTACTTGCTTATAGCCCAGCAGTCGTATGGTGATAGTAATTGCCCTGCATATAACAACGCTTCTACGGCTCTTGGGTATGACTGTAATGGTGTGAATAGGACTTGCCAAACTTTTCTCATATATAGGGCTCAGCCGGCCTACAACACCATCTCTTCCATTGCATCCCTTTTATCTGCCAATGCATCTGAGGTATCTGCGATCAACAGCAACATATCTGTAAGCAAGGCCTTGGCAACAGACACCGAGGTGATTGTCCCTTTGACTTGCTCCTGTGCAGGTAGGTTTTACCAAGCCAACACCTCTTATGTTGTTCAAACGAATGAAAATTATTACGTTATAAATACAAATAAGTTTGAAAGTTTGACTACTTGTAATGCTATTCAAATTCAGAAAACCAGCCCAAATGTAATAAATGTATTCCCTGATGATAAACTTAATATCCCTCTAAGGTGTGCTTGTCCTACTAGAAAGCAATTTGATGCAGGGATTAGGCACCTTATTACCTATGTGATCCAATCAGGCAATGCTATAGCGAGTATTGCTCATCGATTTGGAGCTGATGTTGGGCAAACACTCGAGGCCAATGGAAAATCCGAGCAGAATTCTGTTATCCAACCTAACACAACCCTGCTTGTTCCAGTACAATTCCCGCCCAACAGTTCTCATATGGACTATCCTCCTTATGTACCACCCCCGCCACTACCTCCACCATCAATTCCTCCTAGAGCAACACCATCACAACCGCTGTCTAGTGGGAGTTCCAGTAAGAAATGGGCTTATTTTGGGGTTGGAATAGTTGTAGGAGCTGCATTTATTTCAGTTGCAGGGACCATTCTTTTCTGTATGCTTCTAGGGAAACTTACGAAGAAGAAAAATGATCCAATTGTGTCATTGCGAAGCTTTGAAGCACAAGAAAAGGCTGTTACAGAGAAGTCTCTAGAGACTGAGACAGAATCCCTGGTGTTTCTTGAGAGCATATCAAAAATAGCTTCCCTGAAAGTATACAGTTTCAAGGACCTGCAGGCAGCAACAGAGAATTTCAGTGCTGATCATTGGATTAAGGGATCGGTGTATAAGGGAAATGTAAATGGTGATGAGGTAGTAATCAAGAAGATGGATGGAGATGTCAGTAAAGAGATTAATGTACTAAACAAGATCAACCATTTAAATCTCATCAGGCTGTTGGGAGTTTGCTTTCAGGATGGAATTTGGTACTTTGTCTATGAATATGCAGGTAACGGACCTTTGAGTGATTGGATTTACCAAGACAGCCCCGATAAGAAAAACTTGAGTTGGGGACAAAGAATGCAGGTGGCTTTTGATGTTGCCACGGGACTAAACTATCTACATAGATATACAAGCCCACCACATGTTCACAAGGACATAAAGAGCAGGAATGTTCTTCTTACCGACAAGTTTAGGGGGAAAATTGCAAAGTTTGGGCTCGCAAGGCCAGTTATGGGAAATGATGGTCAATTCACCTTAACGAAGCATATTGTAGGGACAAAAGGATATTTGGCACCTGAGTATTTGGAGAATGGAATAGTCTCTCCAATGCTTGATGTTTATGCATTTGGTGTTCTGTTGCTTGAGATGCTAACTGGTAAAGACGTCGCTTTCCTTTATGAAGGAGTTAAGGTTCACTTATCAGAGGTGTTAGGGCCTTTGGTAAAAGAGGAAGATGGGATTTCAAACTTGAAAGATTTTATGGATACTTCTCTTGGGGAGGATTACCCTGCTGATATCGCTTATACTATGCTCGTGCTTGTTGATCATTGCTTGAGAAAAGATCAAGGAAAGCGCCCTTCTATGGATGAAATTGTTCAAATTCTGTCCAAAACTCTGACAACCTCACTTATATGGGGATCCAGTACTTCTGCTGGTAACTCTAGCTCATGATCATGGTAGTTATGTGTAGCAGCTGCAGCCTTTTCGTCAATACCTGCTATCAGCCCTGATACCTGTAATAATGTAGTGTGAACTCTTATGGAATTCCGGATGATTGTTGTAACAAAAACCTCATGTTTAATTTCCATTTCATTGGTGTATGTTTGTTCAGGGAATTGAAGTATAGGACAGTTTTATTTTTCTTTTCTTTTTTGTGTAACGAATTGGTTGCCCTTCTTTGGTAGGAAATCTAATAAATTATATCTCTGTGTCAATATTCTTGCCAAAGTTTCTCCTAATATAAGTTCCATCTTATCATATTAGTTGCATATATGAAGTACTAATTAAATTTCTGATTTTTTTCTGACAGAGAGAAATAGATTACATGCTATTTTTGTTGATGTTATCTATTTGTATTAGGTTCTGTGTGAGAAAGTCACTTGAGGATCAAATTTAGAATCTATGATATATATATACTTTGATCTTGTAGGTGAACTGACCTCATTTCTTACAACTGTTATGTAAATGTTGTTTGCAGACTTCTTGATACCTTACTGTTAGACTAGAAGAATGACATGTTGCTTACAGCGCATCACAGCGGGCCTAACTGTGATGGAAATGCCTGAGCCATCACAGGGGCAGCACGGTGATTCTCGCTCCTCGCTCAATTCATCAGGTTTAGTCTTCTCTTCTCACCTCAACTTGTGATGTAATTGCCCATAAAATGAGGGACTTGAGCTGAAGCAAAATAAACAACCAGTAATTGTTTTATCAGTTTTTTGTCAACATAAAAAATACGTCGTATATCTACAACAATAAACAATTACATATTTAGAATTAGAAAATGAAATATGAATTACACAAAATAGTAGATATGCCTATAATTTGCAGTCCGAGGTAGTTATATAAATAATATAATTGTTCCATCAATAACATGAGAGTCATCCATCTACCAGCTCATAACATGTTTAAATTAATATTTGTTGAGCTCTTATGATCATTTGGTATCATTAAATAAATTTAATTAAACACTAATCACCTTCTCATGAAATTTCCTTGTATCACAGGATTATTTTACTAAACCCTCTTATGTAATTGAATCTTGCCTCTAATAACACTGTCAATGGACCACAAATGAGTTTTGTTTAATTTTCCATCTGTCAACTTACCATTCCCCCACATCCTTATTGTTATGGTAAAAATGGTCAACCCATCAATTTCCTAGTCACTAATAGGCCTTTCAATCATTATTCATTTGAGTATAAACTATGTTGCTGAAATTGGGGTACTTGTGTTTGATATGGTTGCATGTCTTAGTGTCTGAGTGTCTAACTCGTCTATATTGTGAATGAAAAAAATCACAATTTTGAAGTGGCAAAGTTTCCTACTCATATATTAGGGGTATCTGAAGTAAAATGAAGAGTATGAGTAACATAGCTTATAAAATGACCGAAGTGGCTATCAAACACAATACATCATTTAAGAAAGCATACTATGTAATCATACATTCTTTCCCACCTAGTTCAAGCCAAAATCCAATTAAAATGGCTTCTAATTCATTAACTTGCACCTTTGTTCTCTTCTTAATTTTCTTCCCTTACTTGATCACATCCCAACAGCCTTATGCTCCTAATATTTGTCCTGCAAATAGCAACACCACTTCTGTTCTTGGATACAACTGCAATGGTGTAGAACGATCTTGCCAGTCTTTTCTCATCTACCGGACTCAGCCTCCATATAACACCGTCTCTTCAATTGCTTCCCTACTATCCGTGAATGCATCTCAGGTTTCTGCAATCAACAGCAACATCTCCGAAAACATGGCCTTGGCAAATAACACTGAGGTGATTGTTCCTGTAACCTGCTCCTGTTCAGGTAGGTTTTACCAAGCCAACACTACTCATGTTGTTCAAACTGGTGATAATTACTACTTGCTAGCTAACACAACCTATGGAGGTTTAACTACTTGCAAGGCTATAAGAAGTCAGAAAATCAGTCCGAATATAGTAAATATTTTCCCAAATGAAAGGCTTACAATCCCTTTAAGGTGTGCTTGTCCTACAAGAAGGCAACTTAATGCAGGGATTCGGTACCTTATGAGCTTTGTGGTCCAATTTGGAAATCAAGTTCCTGATATTGCTATAAAATTTGGAGCTGATGTTGGTCAAACACTCGAGGCCAATCAAAAATCCGAGCAGGACATTGATGCTATCTATCCTTACACTACACTGCTTGTTCCATTACATAACCCTCCCAATGGTTCTCAAATGGAGTATCCTCGTTATGTATAACCTTCACCATCACCTCCACCGTTCCTTCCTCCTTCAGCCTCATCACCACCGCGGTCTTCTAGGGAGAAATCGAGTAAGAAATGGGAATATTTTGGGGTAGGACTGGTTGCAGGGTTTGTATTTCTCTCAGTTTCACAACTTTTCATTATGTTCCTAAGGAAGAGTATGAAGAAGAAAGATGATCCAATTGTGTCATCACAAAGCTTTGAAGCACAGGAAAAGGCTGTTGTAGTACAGCAGTCAGAAACCGAGACAGAATCCCTGCAGTTTCTAGAGAGCATATCGAAAATATCTTCCCTGAGAGTATACAGTTTCAAGGACTTACAGGCTGCAACAAAGAATTTCAGGGCAGATCATTGGATTAAGGGATCGGTATACAAGGGAACCCTTAATGGTGATCAGGTGGCCATCAAGAAGATGGAAGGAGATGTCAGCAATGAGATTAGTGTACTAATCAAGATCAACCATTTCAACCTCATCAGGTTATTGGGAGTCTGTTTCGAAGATGGAGTTTGGTACTTTGTTAATGAGTTTGCAGGGAATGGACCATTGAACGACTGGATCTACCAAGACAACCCCGAAGGAAAAATCTTCAGTTGGGGGAAGAGATTGCAGGTTGCTTGCGATGTTGCCACCGGGTTGAATTATCTTCATAGCTTCACAAGCCCACCACATGTCCACTAGGATATAAAGAGCAGCAATATTTTTCTGAATAACGAATTCAGGGCGAAAATTGCTGGATTTGGTCTTGCAAGGCCAGTAAGAGGGAGTGATGGTCAGTTCACCTTAACAATACATATTGTGGGGACAAAGGGATATTTGGCTCCTGAGTATTTAGACAATGGAATAGTCTCCCCCATGCTTGATGTTTACGCGTCTGGTGTTCTGTTGCTAGAAATGGTAACTGGTAAGGATGTTGCTTCTCTTTATGAAGGGATTAAGGTTCACTTATCTGAGGTCTTAAACCCTGTGTTGAGCAAGGAAAATGGGATTTTGAATGTGAAGAAATTCATCGATTCTTCACTAGGACAGGATTATCCTGCTGATGTGCTTATACTATGCTCGTACTTGTTGATCGTTGTTTGAGAAAAGATCCAGGAAGTAGGCCTACCATGGATGAGATTGTGCAAATTCTGTCAAACACTCTTACAACCTCGCTTATCTGGGGATCTAGTACTTCCGCTAGTATCTCAAGTTCATGATCATTGCATCCGGAAAACTTTCTACTTTAATCAGTATGCAGTTGCTTAGCTTACCTCTTTATTGCCTTCCGAATGTGTTTATGATGTTTTGTTTGCCCTCTTGATAAACATGGGTCGTTTATCAAGATGATAACCTTGTAATTTCTCCCTATTTAGCCAATCTATTAAATGATTTAAACCTTATGTTATATCAATTCCATGTGCACTCAATCCCAACATTTAAGCTTGGCTATAAAATTCCCATGCCATATCAAATGTTATTATTTTTTTTTCCACAATATACATTCTTTTGGCAATTTACCCGAGATATCTTCCTAAATAGAAATTTTAGTTCTTTTTCAATAATTACAAACAAAAACAAAGTTGATTTGTAGAAAGACTAGAAACCATTATAATTTTAATAACACCAAATCATTTGTGTTACAACTAGAGCTATCAAAAGTTGACCCGACCTGAAATACTGACTCAAACCCGATTATTAACCGACCCATCTAAACCCGAAAAAATGGTGACCCAAACCCGACCTGAAACCAACCCTAGAACCGAGTCGACCCGAGTATGTGAGACTCGAACCGAACATGAACTGAGCTGGAGATGACCCGACCCGAATGTAACCCGTAAATTATTGACTTGAACCGAACCCGACTTGAACCGAAATTGACCCAAACTCGTTTTAACCCGTCAAAACCTGAATTTAACCCGACTTGTTACTAACCTGACCTGAATTCAACCCGTCTCGTTCCTAACCCGACCTGAATTTAACCCAACCTATTACATACCCGACCCGAATTCAACCTGACTTGTTATTGATCTGACCTAAATTCAACCCGACTTGTTATTAATCCGACCCGAATTTTACAGACCTATTACTAACCCGACCCAAAAATTCAGCCCGATCTGTTACTAACCCGACTCGAAATCAACACGACTTGTTATTAACCCGACCTAAATTCAACCAAAATTGTTCCTGACCCGATTTCAAATCACCTTAAATGAAATTTAGACCACCTTATTATTGTTAATCAAAGAATTTTGTCTAGGGGGACCAAGTCGGTCCACGCCAGCAAAAAAAGGAGCATCATCCTCAAATTTAAGAGTTAAATATAGTATATATTTGTTGTATGGTCAATGGAGATAATTATCTTCCTAAATTATAAACTATAATCCCTTAGTATATTGTCATATATATTATAGTTAAAGGAAATAATTAGCTTGATAAAAATGATAATTATCTATTATAGTTAGTTGAACCCGAATATGACCTGACTTGGAAAAGACCCGACCTGATTGTAACCTGCAAATTATTGACTTGAACATAACCCGACTTGACTCCGAGAATGACCCGACTTGGAAATGATCAAATCTGATTATAACCCGCAAATTATTGACTTGAACCGAATCCAAGAATGACTCAACTTGAAAATGACCCGACCTGATTATAATCCGCAAATTATCGATTGAACCGAACCCGACTCAAACCCGAGAATGACCAGATGTGAACCGACTCAAGCATGACCTAACCCAAACCTTACCAGCATAGGTTATGGAATTAATCCGAATTGATCCGACCTGAGTTGACCCGACCCACTCTTACCGACCCAAACCCGACTCATTTACCCGAATTGACAGCTCTATCCGAAACCTCCAAAATTTCTCAAAAAGCGTGGATATTAGCCTTCAATTTTGGATTTTTTTGCCTTTTTTCACCCGAAAATTGCCGAAATGTTTACCATGGTCCCTAATAACCTCTAGGAGTCCAATTGGCCGGATAGAACCATCCAATTTTCCTTTAAACGACCAATTTACCGGTTTACAACTTGAACGGATTTCATTAACTCAAGCTTACCACGAACATTTATGACAACATATAATGATCATATATGGATCCAAATGACATTATATGACTCGAGATGTATCCCCTAAAATCTCAATGCTTTTCAACACCGGGCCGCGAAACGTTCGAAATTTCTCAAAAAACATGGATATTAGCCTTCAATTTTGGAATTTTTTGACTTTTTTTTG